TAGATCATTTGGGTACAGTGACACATGTAGGCAAGGTCTATCCCAGGTTATTCGGGTACAGCGACACATGCAGGTAAGGTGTACCAGCTTGACCACATACAGTGTACCGACTCACACTCAAGAACCACTCGGATGATCTGTGACAAAAGTGTAACTATTTCATTGTTCATCTTGTCACTATGTTACTGACTTGATATCTGGCTCATGACTTGGCTTATGACCGAGTAGATTGTCACTCCACTATTTAAATACATTCTGTCACCCACCCAAACACAAACTGAGAGATTACACCTGTGGTTATAAATTACTGTTAACACCCATACTAATCTCACCGTTGGAACACAATAATTTGATTGTATTGCACTGTCTTAGTTCACCATGGTAATGATTCACAAAGTCTTTTCTAAACTTGGTTTAAACAATTTCAAATCTTGCGTGTGATTGGAGGACGGATGTATTAGAAAGAAATGCCAATGAATATGCAAATTAGTCTTTATTAGAAGCTGATATAGTCACTTTGTGTATGTAGGTATGTGTATGTTCAGCACTGGATTATACATATTTAATGTAGTTCCATGTAAACTGCTGTTACTCCATTGTGTACCAAAATGCTGTATAAAATAAAATGTTCATTTCTAGCAAAGTCACTCAATTCTCCCACACTGTCATTTTTCCGACATTCCATTAGAAGAAAAAACAAGATCAGAACATATTTTTGTGAAGTCAGAGCACACTTTCTACGGATTATTCAAACTCAAAAAATGGTTTGAAAAAAAAAAGCCTGATAGCCTGAAGGATGTGATCCATCTTATGGAAAGTACAAAAGGTTTGTGGCTATCTCTCAACAACACATTTTACCAAATACAAAGTGCATCCGTAACTAACTACATGCCTTCTGAAATCATGTACATTGGAATATGCATAATGTAAATTCCAGGAAATGATGATAGTGGTGCTACCATGGTCATCACTGTGCACTGTCCACTTGGGTGTGGTGGGTTAGGAAAATGTTGAAGTTTTGAATAGGTGAGGGAAATATTGAAAAACCCAAAAAGACACATTCAAAGAAAACTGTTTGAGCCTTTCCAGTTTGCAAATCTTTGCCATGAGGAAGATTTCAGTTTATCTTGTGAACAATGTTATCCTTTGCAGTTTAGTCTAATATTCCACCTTCTCGTTTTATTTTATATACGTATATATGTATTTTATTTTGATGATTTCAAATCATTTAAGTTATCTTATGAAATCATAGTTTTTCCAGCTTTCTTTTCTTTGAATATTTCTACCTATGTGTTTCAAAGAAACTGTTCAGTATAACTTTTGTTAAAAATGTACAAGTATGACCCGTTATATTTAAAGAATATCCTCTTTGCATGTTACTGAAGTACCACTGTTTAAAGCAAACTTTGTACGTTATGTGTATTTGGTGCAGAGCCAAAGACCCTTCCATTTTAATACTAAAACAGCAAACCAACAGACGAAAAAACAGTCTCATATTGGAAAGGTGATGCAGTCATTTCAAAGTATTTCACTTTCAACAAGACAATTCCAAGAACACATTTACCTTGCGTGTAAAATGGACAAGTATTGTATGGACACAAAAGCATTCACCGTATCTTATAAAATGTGAATTTAGAATAGGAATTTTACTTGTATCTGGACAAGTACATGTATTTTATTTAATGTTGGTTTTGTTTTAATTTCTATTTTTAGTAAAAATTTGTGATAAGGGAATACATAAGAAATCTCACTTATTTCCCATTAACAAGAAAGTCACTTTTTTAGTATTCCAATGTAACAATTAGTTCTGGCATTTCCCTGTCCAATCTGAAAGGTAATTGGCTATAAATAAAAACATTTTGTGTTAATAATCCAAATGTTGTTCATGAACTAAGTTGATTTTTTAAAGTGATACACAATTTAAAAGAACTGGGGGGGGGTTGGAAACAACACATACAGCATTGCATAGGACTGTTTCCATGACTACCGAACTTTTATTGCATCGGAGCTAATGCAAGCTAATTCAGTTAAAATCAAGTCCCAATTTTCAAGCTTACATAACCATGTAATAAATGTTCAGCTAATTCTAGGGCAGAATGTTTTCATTTGAAGGCTAATGTTTAATCTGAATTTATTTGTCCAGATTTCGAACACCAGTCATCTTCTTGTCCAACCAGTGATCTCACTGCTCCAGCGAAGCTGTCTTGATTTGCACCACTAATTGAGCCACACTCAAAGACAGGGCGTACGCATGCACAACTTCATCATTACCATGGTGATTCCTTTGGGTTGTCACATCAGAAAAGTGTCCTTTGCTGTTCTTAAACACCAGCAGGACAATAGCGGTCACTAACACCAACTTCACCCGGAGGAATTTCTTAGAATCAAAGCTATATCCGCTTGATTAAGAAATCAAAATGGCAGGTTTGTAGTACAGATATTTGAGTATGATTTTAAGGAGTTTTTACACTTGGCAATTCCTTCCACAAGAAGGAAATTTCCCAAATTCCCCCACAGATAAATGACAACCCATTGCACACTCATTCCTCCCCGGAAGGACACAACTCCATCCGTTAGCTTGACCACACACGTGGGCATGACGAGAATTGTGATATTTATAACAATGTACTGCTCTACATGAGCAAAGTAGACGGGCGATGTAACACCACCAACGTGCTTCAGACGCAACTGATAAAACAAGAAATTAACCAATCCCATAAAAGAAACAAAATCAGATGTCAAATCCACTGAATAAGAATTTCTTCAGTATTTTTATCAATGAAACAATAGCTACAGTCTGAAAAATTGCAAAACCAGTTTTAAATTTTGCTTTCTGTCAATAAAGAAACTAGCTTTGTCCAAGGCAATGCCTGCCACTTTTTGACAAGGGGAGAAAATCTGGTTCCACACACACAAACCACAGCAAAACCAGCCGCCGTGTACTGTCATGACATACCAAACCCTTGTACAATACTACGGCATACTACAAAGTAAGCTAAACACAGAACTGATATACATACTACTTTGCAAGTACGTCATACATGTGCACGTCATAAGTGGCCTGTCCAGTTGAAAAATCAGCCCAGTCTTTTCATGTACACATGAACATTCACTGCAACAACACACACCTTCACAGCACAAGCCTAATAGTGCAGATCAGCAGGTGATAACTACAATAGGCCTATAGCTTATACGCACTGTTTGGGAATGCAGGTCAGCGGGTGATAACTACAATAGGCCTATAGCTTATACGAAATGTTTGGGAATGCAGGTCAGCAGGTGATAACTACGATAGGCCTATAGCTTATACGCACTGTTTGGGAATGCAGGTCAGCGGGTGATAACTACGATAGGCCTATAGCTTATACGCACTGTTTGGGAATGCAGGTCAGCGGGTGATAACTACAATAGGCCTATAGCTTATACGCACTGTTTGGGAATGCAGGTCAGCGGGTGATAACTACAATAGGCCTATAGCTTATACGCACTGTTTGGGAATGCAGGTCAGCGGGTGATAACTACAATAGGCCTATAGCCAATAGGCACTGTTTGGGAATTTTTTTATATCATCAGCGGGTCAACTGTATTTACAAGAAAAGCCAAACGCCTTGATCGAGGCTATGCTGGACCAATGGCAGCTCCTACGGTACCAACTGCGCATCACTGGTTCATGAACGACTAGGAAACACAAGCGTTGCAGTTGCAACACTACCAACTAAACGAATACTCCTAACCAACATGGCTCTTTTCAACCAATGAGGGGGTGCTTCTGCTCGAGGCAGATAAGCAGGCCTAGAATAATCTAGAATGAACCAACACTTGGGTTCGTAGGATACATTACAAGCATTAAAAGATTAAAAAGACTAAGCTATTTGCATGTCACTATAATTGGTGAGCCAATAAATTCCATGGGCTCAGCTTTATATCCTGTCACAAAACTGTACCGTCATATCACTTAGAATTTGAGAGACCTCACATGACCTGTGTATCACAAGTGTAATAATCTCTAAACTAAAACTGAAACTACAGCAATATGCCTTGCTAACAGGGAACATAGACTATGGTGGACCACGATCCCTGGACTGGAATCGAACCCATTACCAAGATATATGTAGTCTTAAAGGTCACTTAGAGAGTGCTTACGTGAAACAACATCTTCCTACAAAACCATCACAAGAAACAAGACTTGAGCAAAACAGAAACTTTCAAAGAAGGCAGGTTAACCAATCTAGTGGTAACTTTTCTTTGCAGTTTATGGACTTGATTGCCTCATGAACATGTTCATGTGCATACAGCAATCGGAGATGAACGTTCCGAGTGAGGTGCACTCACTCTGGACACACTCAGGTCTGGTGCTTGACTCCCCTTCTTGCCTGCCCTGAATAGCTGCACATTGATCTTGAACAGCTCCGCATCAAGCAGACTAGTAGAGAACACCTGATCTGGTTCGGGCTGTAAAACAAACAAAAAAGCAAGGAGATAATGACTGACAATGATCATGTGTGTGAAATTCAGAGCCACAGGTGAAGTTTTTATCTTTTTTGAACGGGCAAGGTTTCAACTGTTCAACACAGTACTTTAAGAACTTCTCAATTTAGGAATTCTTTCTTAAATGGGTTGATGCTGAATCAAGAGGGGATCCAACATCAAAATGAATACCAACATCATCCAAGCCTTCCTGGGGTTTAAAGCATTACACACCTTATCCACTTTACCAAGTTGTTTACGAATCATGACATCACGTCTGGCACACAAGGCCCGTCGACAAGGTCCAATGTCAGTCAGCAGCTGTTTACGCTGACGTAATTTCCTCTGAGCTGAAGCATTGAAAGCTCCTAGTTGATTCTCAAACAATGGTGTCTGTATAGACGAGCCTTCTTCTAGGATTCCAAAAAATACAATTTACAAATTAAGTGATTAACACATCTACAATGCCTGTAAACAGTGGCATCCTTTAATTCCAATAATTAAAATGCAGGTTAATGCACATTTCCCTGAAACAAAGTCCACCTTCAGTTATTTCCAGCACTTTGACCAATTCAGACGTGGACATCCCAACTACAAGTACATGGATCTTCTTCATCCGGGTAATTTGGTCTAAATACAAAGAAAGCACAGGATTGAAAGCGTAGTAACAGAAAAGTAAACATCTCACGATGTGTACCAATCAAATTCATATGGTTTACCTTCCGCTGCCTGCAGACATAATTGCTCAACCTCCCTCATCAGCTCAGGACCAGCAAGTGCCCTAGACACACCGACTCTGGCCAGGACTTGACCTGGCCGAAACTTGTCTAATACAGACCCAGACACCTCGCTGGTCTGGGACTGTGTTTGTATCGCTGATGATTGAGACATGAGGCTGGACCAGTCCACTGCTGTCAAGTCAGCTTGTGTGTCTGGGGAGAAGACCATTGGGAACAAATACGTAATAAAGATATATGCATCTAAATTTACAGTATGGAATCGGGTCTCATACAGTGTCAATGCAAGGAATCACATGGTTGGAAAATGATGGTTTACCCTTTAACCTTCTCAGAAGGAAACTATTTCTATAAAGGTGCAAAATCTTTCCCCGAAGGACAAACCTACCCTTAAGTTAGAACCTACATTCTTTACAACAGAATCTATCCCAATCTATTCCCTGAGAAGTGTTTCCCTAATCTCAGTTACCTTCTTGAGGCTTTGCATCTTCCTCTTGCTTGCTCACATCTCTGTTTCCATCCTCCAAGATGTCATCAAATTCATCATCGCTGATCACCTCATACATATCTGAGGAAGCACTATGTTCTTGTTTGACTGATGCCTCTCTTGATGGTGGGATGCCTAAGTTATTAAGAATAAAATGATTGTGTTTAAATAAATCCATTTTGGTCTTGTTTCATCAAAGCGAGACAGCAACAATGATTTATATTTTAAGTATTAAAAATGCTGACAACTTTACTTGATAGAAATCTAGTCCCATTTGAGGAAAACATTTTCTCTCAGGATTTTTGTACAAATTTTGACTTTTTTCAAATGTGATTTATCCCATCCAATATTAGGTGCTGGAGTTTATGTGGAAAGGATTCTTTACTTACTACTATTCTTATCTTGGGAATCCCTATCTCTAGAAACCTTTTCTTCCATGGGTAAACAAGGAATCTTGGGAGAGGAAGTAGAGTTCAAATCTTCTTGATCCACTGCTGTCTTGGGTAAGCTTGTTCCTTGATCCAGAGACCCACCAGATCCTCCTTGCCCAGGAAAGTCTGAGCTAACAGAACTGTAACGACTGGAACTGCTTCCATAGCTCAGACTACGCAAAGACCTCCCTTCGGTGCCTTCTTGTTTTTCTCTATCATCAGATCTCTTCTCTTGCTTTTCTGACCTTTGCCTGTCTCTCCGTGATTGCTCCAAGGATAGGTCTTGCTTAAAGTCTTCCAAGCCAGGTAGTGATTTCTGTTCTTCTATTGGTGGACTCTGGTTGAGGAGATCATCACTTCCACCCTCTGACCAGTCACTGAAAACTTCCTCAGTAGGCCTGCCAAGGGAGCCCTCTTTCAGAGGTGTGCTCTCTTTACTATCTTGTGTTGAGGCTTTGGAAGTTGCTTCAATGGCCTTGGCCTCTGGAGGAGCAGCAGTCCTTACATCTTGATCCCGATCATGGTATGATTTCTCCTGGGAATGGCAAAGATCATCTCTGCTGCTGACTTTAGCAGGAGAATCAGATGTACCTCCTCTACCAGGGGACTGGCCATGCTTCGGCAAGTCCCGACCTCCCCCAGTTCTCTCTGATGACCTTTCCAATCGCTGCCTTCTATCCTGATCAATGGGTTTCTCCTTCTGGGAGCTGCTGGACCCCTTCGAATCTCCTCTTCTAGATCTCAAATCCTCACGTCCATCTCTAGACCCTTCTCGTTTCAAACCATCTGCTCGACCACCAGAATGTGTTCCTTTCTGCTGTTCCATCCCTCTTTGTTTGTCCATTTTACGGCTATCAGTTGAACTATCTCTCGATCTTCTGGACTCTTCAAAGCTACGACCAACCTGTCTGGCAAGGCCTTCTTTGGCTTGAGCTCGACCACGATCAGGTCCTGCCCTTCTTCCTCCCCTCCGAGTATCGCGTCCTCTCTCTGAACCTCTCTGAGGATCACCATCTCTAACTCTAGGTGGTTCCCTACCTTTCTCCTGCAGCCTGTCTCTGTCAAGACCCTTTTCATTCTCAATTGCTTTTCCCTTATCTCTGCTTCGGTCTGTTTCTCTACCTCTCTGAGCAACCCTTCCAGGATCAGATCCCCTATCACTCTTTTGCAGAGGTGGTTCTCTTCCTTTAGTTTGCCCCCTGCCTCTCTCTGGTCTTCTGCCCCTTCTTTCCACGACAAGCTCACGTTCAGGTCCCCTGCCAATATTGGTTCCTCGTCCTCGACTCATAGGACTTGGGCTTCCCTTGGGCATCTTACGATTATCCAGGCTTTCCGATCTTTGAGTAACATCACGCTGCCTATCTTGTGAAGACTGAGTACGATTCCTGAAGTTCCACAAAAATAATGTTAACTTTTCAAATTCCATCAAAGATTCCAAATGCCACCATTTTTCAGTTTGGGAAAAAGACTGCAGAAGGAAAATTGGCTGCACCTAGAAGTTATCATGAAAGTGCACATGGTTGAATGACAACAAATTATTCTTGTCTTAAACGCAGTTACGGATAAATCTGAAGATGCAGCTGTTAAACATACCTTGCCAGTCGCTGGTCTCTCCCTGCAATGTTCTCCATTTCCTTCCTGCCACCGATCCGATTCCTCTCCCACTCATCTCGACGGGACTCTCGCTCCTGCTGTTCACGTCCACGGGAATCCCTAGAATCCATCCGTGATTCTACTCTCTGGTTTGACCTAATATCAGCTCTAGGGTCTAATCTGTGCTCTGCTCTGGGATCTACCCGTGGATCTAATCTTAGATCTGCTCTACGGTCATCCCTTAGGTCTCTCCTTGATTCAGGTCTGAAGTCCAATCGGGGATCTGCTCTGGGATCTACTCTAAACCTGGAGTCTCCTCTGGGCTCTGGCCTAATATCTCTTCTCAGATCTCTTGGATCTGCTATTGAGTCTGCCCTTGGGTCTACCCTAAGATCTGCTCTGACACCTCCCCTAGAATCTCCCCTGAGGGCTGCTCTGATGTCTCCCCTTGGGTCTTCCCTGGTATCTTTTGGGTCTCCTCTGTGATCTCCTCTAAGGTCTGCCCTGGAGTTCCCTCTTGTGTCTCCTCTTACATCTCCTCTTAGATCAGCTCTGCGGTTTCCTCCAGGGTCCCCCCTTAGATCTGACCTAGGATCTATCCTCAAATCTGACCTAGGATCTCCCCTGAGGTCTGCTCTTAGATCTGACCTAAGGTCTCCCCTGGAGTCTTTCCTGGTGTCACCCCTGTCTCCTCTTAGTACTCCTCTGGGGTCTCCCCTGGGGCCACAACGTGGGTCATCTCTTGCATCTCCCCTCTGGTACCCACGGGAATCAGTCTTAGGCTGACCTCTAGTGTCTGCTCTTGGGTCTGTTCGAGGGTCTGACCGCTGGCGTGGATGTAGTTGGAAGTCTGCTGGTGGTGGGTTATTTCGGCTCTCACCTCTTGGTAAGTATTTGTCACTGGGATGTCCTGTTTGACTTTGGTAATCTGTCGGGTGAAAACAATATATTTAGTGTAAAGTTTATGTTAAATTTGTAATAGACTCTGCGTGAAGACTGAAATGCCTATACGTGAGTCACACATTAATTTAACCACTTTGCACCAGGGTGGCCGACACCGGAGACACGACGTGTGACCCACGAGGCTGGGGTCCCAAAATCAGAACTTTCTCTTAAAAAAAGAATTAAAGCTGCTCGGCATTTTTAGACAAACAGCACTTCGTGTCAGTCAAAACTTTGGGCCATCAGTGAAGGTAATTCCCTCATTGATTTGCAACAAGGGTTCACTGGACCAGAAAACTGGGCCTTTATTCAGGCTGGGGTGACCGAACTTGGAAACGAAAGACTGAGCTGCTGGGACTTGCCAATGATGGTTCGTACACTGTCAGTGCAGAGTGCTGGCCATTAGCAGAGGTAAACCGTCATTTAAATACGGCTTTTACCCTTACCCAACATATATTTATATTTAAATAATCCGTCATTGTTTTGAAACAGTATATCATTTGCCGCCGCCAGCGCCCACGGATTATCAGCGGTGACAAAAGCACGCACTCCAACGATACAATATCGCTGCGCACTCGTGGAATCTGGCCACACTGTGCAGCGTTCATTGTGCCAGTGTGCTCATTGAAAGACCCGGTTCACCCTTGTGGCCCACGCGCGCTCTGCATAGCAACACCGGCTGTCCAGCATAGCAACACACTGGGCTAATTCCCAGAACAAAGAGGAAATAATGGGGGCTCTTTATGGAGCAGCAGGCATGGCTACAACACTCACGTGTCAATGGAGGCTGCCTGCCAGATTAGTCGACACAGGACGATCATTCTTTTGGTTGTAGGCGTGCAGTAAATAAAGATATTAATTTTTGAGGAATTTTGAAAAAGAAGAAAAATTAAAAAGCACCCAACCCAGCTGCCTGAACATCACAACGGCCTGGTGCGAAGTGGTTAAAGTACTGCTTCATATAAGAAAATTTCGCACTTTACAAGAAAATCACATTGAAGTATATTGTAACCATTTTTCTCACCAGAGCCCTGTCTGTCAGAAAACTTTTTTGTTCGGTTATCCCTTGAATTACTACTTGATCTCAATAAACTGGCTGGTTGTTTCCGAGTGGGTGATGGCGACTTCCTTCTGACAGCTCTTGGAGATGGAGATCTTCGTTTGGAAGTCGGGGAATAAGACCTGTGTGATCCAGACGGTGAGAGACTTCGCTGGAGTTGTTTCTTGACCCCAGTCCTGCCTGAAGGTGGAGACCTGACAGAAGGACTTTTAGGCAAGCCACGACGATCTCGCGGTTGGGGTGAAGGTTGCACGGTTTGCCGAGTTGGTGATGGTGACTGATATCGTGGACGTTTACCTGTTACCCTGCGTGGTGATTCCGAGTGAGCAGAACTAGATGTTGAGCGTTCCCTTGATGGCAATGAACCTGAAAGGACTGGGCTGGGGGGGCTAGGTGGTCGCTTGGTGGTCCTTTGAGGGGGTGTCTCATAGTGTTTTGGTTTCCGTTTCATTGGCGAATTGCTCCTAAGCTGTGATGGAGAACGAGGACGCTTGGAGGTCTTACGATACTGAGCTGGTGGAGTAGGGGAATGGCCAGGCTTGCGTCTGACAGAGAGGGCTTCCTCATCGCTACTTCTATTTCCTGAAAAACTCCTGCTGAGAATTGGCAGGCACAAGGACACATAAAAAATTACCCACCTATTTCCTTTTTTTTTTTGAGGGACGGAGTTTGAATGATACTATATGCCCATGCATCAGTGAAATACATATAAAATGAGATATAAATATGCAGAAAAGATTCAATGTGAGAAAATATTAGGTTGTTGCCATGTTGCTGCCAATTGTAACGGTGGATTTCTACTCACCTTCTCTTGGCCATATCCCTGTCCCTTGACTTTTTCCTCATCTCAGTTTTGCCCTTATATTTCTGTGGGGTTGCCACCTCATCTGGTTGATTTGCCTGAGGGCTTGGAGTGCGAGTATGGTATGCTGCCGCTGCTGCTGGTTTGCCCCCACGAGGGGAGTGGCTTGACCCTGCCCCTTTTTTCTTTGGAAGATACTCTGCAGATTCATTATAATCTTGTCTGTTTCAAAAGAAGACACAAAACATCTTGTAAATATGGATTCTAACTTGGAAGATGCATAATTTTTTAGAATTTACAAAGGGGTCATCCATAATTGTCATCATTTTCACAAACGTAAAACAAGTAGACTTTCACAACCCCCTCCATCCTCCGCCTCCAAAGTGGACATCAGCAGGCAAAACATATTGATGGATGGAAAGCTCCATTGGCCTAATACCCTAATTATGTCGACGCACAATGATATACATTTAAGTATTGTAGTTAAGAGAAATGTAAATTTCAAATAAAACATTGTTTAAAACAACACCTGAAAAGGCAAGGCTTGACAAGCAGTGAATACCAATACTAGTAGAGAATAGAACAGAAGAAGTGGCACGGAGCTAGCTAGCAACACCTGCGAAATTTGAAAGTGACCACCAATTCACATTGATGGATCCTCATTTTTCATATTCAGAAAAAGCGTACATGAGGTTTTAACCCCCTCCTCCCATACCGTTTGTACACTTGTGAAAATGATGAAAATTATGGATAGCCCATAACATTATCCTATAATGGATGTGTTTTATCAACCTACTTCATAGTTTCCTCAGATTTGCCTCGTTTACGTTTCTTCCCAACATAGGCCTTAGGTGGCGACTGTTCTACTGGGGTGGGGGAATGTCGTTTATCAGCCTTATTACGACCTTTCTTCTTCTTGGTATGTTTCTTCCTGACAGGGGATGGGGAATGTGAGGTGCGATATGAACCTCCTCCATTATCATCAGAAACCTGAAGGTAAAAACAAAATAAAAGCATTACTTAAAAACTTAAACAAAATTCCTAAGAGTTGATGCAGGTATAAATTTCAAAAACATTTGTGTTTCTTTTACGGATAAACAAACAAACACAAAAAATACAAGCAATCTATCAATTTTGACAAATAACCATCTACAAACGATAGAATACCTCCTTTTGTAGAATGTGTTCTGCCTGTTCCCTGGCTTGATTCTCCTCTTCTTCCATCTGTTGTAGTTCTCTTTGTATCTGTTGCCTCTTCATCTCCAGGGTCAGTGCCTGGCGATAATCTAGACTGGCTTCATCATCATCCCACATGTCATCATCTATTCAAACAACCACAAAGGTTAAATCAACATCCTCAGCAGCCTCAAAGGCCCAACAAATTGCCAAATATAGTAACATTTGAAGCAGTACAAATTATTCCCAAATGCGGTGTACATAAAAAAGAAAAAGCACAGAAAGTAAAGGAATGTAACTTTTCAATCTGAAGCTAACCTGCAGCTGGTATCCCATCAATACCACCCCAATCATCAGCATCACTTATCTCTGGTGAAGGGGTTGCTTCCTGTTTCATGACCTTTGAACCAGACAGGTCATGACCTTTGGGCTTCCGGTCACTGGATGTATCTTTAGCACGGTGTGCTTTATATTTCATTTTATCCTGTGGGTCAAACATTTGCATTTGCCAAATTAAAAATGTTTCACAAACATGATGTTCGCATATCTTTATGTCTTCCTACCTAAGTTTGCTGCATTCACCAAAAAGGTTAAGGGATGCACCGTTAAACTGCCATTCTTAATAATTGGTTATTTTGAAGACAATCCTACCTGCAAAAGATCAGACATTTTGCATAATTGGAGACAATACATAAGTGCAATTATGAAACTGCGTGTTGTGATAAACTTTATTTGAAATCATTTCGTTAAATTAATTCGTACAAATGCATTGTTGATACAACTCTAAATTTACAAAATGATCTTTACAGATTTAAACGACAGGCCCTACCTTGAGGGGTGGTGATAAAGACGATGAAGGAGATCTGTCACGGTCTCTTTCACGTTCCCTCTCAGCTCGTTTGCTCTCAACACGATGACGAAGATCTACTGGTTCAGCATCTGGAGATCTTCAAAGCAAGTTTCAAATCTCAAACATCCTATAACACCAATGCAGAATCAAAACATCATGCACTTAATCGAAGAAAAAAGAAGGAAACAAACAAAGGCTGTACCTGTCATCGTAAGCTTTGGTCCTTTGCCCTTGCAAGAAGCGCGATGTACTAGCAAAGGAAGAATTACCATCTTGGGTCCAGGTACCTTGCTCCCCTCGGCTACCATCTCGCTGTAACATTTCCACAGAAAGAAGTGTTCTTTGTCAAACTGGCATCAAACCATCATGATATGAGAATTTATCAACCTACAAATGTACATGCGTCTCTGGCCTTCAAGAAACCCAACTATGACTGCTGTAATTGCTACAAAATGATCCACCTAACATCCAGAGTGCAGAGAAACATGCAGAACAAAGTCAGTCCCAATTTCCTCCATTTTTACTTGTACAGTTTGATGTTTCAATGAGCCAGTTCAGTATTTTACAAAGATAAGGCCATTCTGATGGTAATAGACAAGGCTGATACAGATCCATTTTTCTGATAAGTTCATGGTACTCTGCTGGTATGACTAGAAAGAGAAGTCAGGGTTCTCCCCAGGAGTTTTCAAAACTGTGGGGGATTTGCATTGTGGTTTACCAACATTTTGCAAAGCCATGGCATGGGCTTCAGGGCCCTTGGGCGGGCCCCGGAAATTTTTGGACTTAAGATGCTCTCAGCTGCATTTTAGAGCATTTCCTGGGTTTTCCAAGTACCTTTTCTCAGGAAAAACAAAAGAGATTCAATAATTTTTGAAATTTTGGATATCAATATTTTAACAAATGACCAGTTTTCCTGAGGGTGCACTTCAGTTAGACAAGAGAGGGCGCTTTTCAACATGGTAACGAAAGGTTTGGCAGTTAATTTCGCTATACCGAACAATCGCTGTACCGAACATTTAGTGTGGACCCCATCGTGTTCGTTACAGCGGCGTTCCACTGTACTATGTAGGCTACCTATAGTATGTACATGTACAGGAAAAATGCAAGACTATTTACTGCTTTTTCGTCTAGATTTTCCGGACGTGTAATCTGCATTTTGTAAGATAATTCTGAGCCACACTTTCATAATTATATTGTGCATATCGAGGACGAAAAAATGAGTATCGGACCGTTTTTTGCGTATCGGGCAGAAATAATTGTGTACAGGGCCCGATATGCAAGTTTGTATGTGGGGAGAACCTCAAGAAAGTTGTGTATATTTCTTTGGTCAAATCTGATTGAGTTTTACTGTGCAGTCACTGATTTTATAAATGTTTTTTTTTACAAAGCACATTTTGGAACTCTAATACAAAGCATTATCTCAAACTTTTGGAGAATAAATTAATACTGTACTAACCCTAACAGAGCAGAATACCATAAATTACTACTTAGAAGTAAACTGTAGTATACAGCCCTGTCCCTTGTAAAAAGACATGACCTTATTGTTCTCTGAAGCCATGAAATACAGTAGATAAGACAATGAACCATAAAGTGCTGTGGCACTATGAATGCAAAACTTTATTGTTCTCTGTACAAGTAACAATGGAGGGTGCCCTAGCCATCAGTTAGTAATTTGTAGTGCTGGGTCCTTCAGGCTCTGACTACCATGTAGTATTTTATAGTACTGAATCCTGTTACCCATATGATGTGCAGGACTGTTGGGGTTAAAGTCAGGAAGTTTAGGATGGAGCTTGAGGGACATGAAGGGTGGCCTCTGCAAAACGCATGTGATGACAACAAGGTTAGCGGATAACAGAGCTTGCAATGCTTACAGCACTTTCTCTTGATGACCCAGGACCAAGTCGCTCAAACACACTGGGTCGTCGACTCTCTGTCGAGTCAGGAACTGCCTTAGTACTATCCACTTTCACTTTTCGTCGCATCACACAGAAAATCCTAAAGCAGAGAGACAAAAATAACTGCAATTTGTGAATATACCATGACATCATTGACATGCATGACAACACCACAACCTGTGTGAGCAAGACAAGTCCTGTTACTTACGTGAAACTAAGCCAGGAACATTTCTTTTCAAAAATTCTAGAAGGCCAATCTACATGATCCATGATCTAACGTTAGCTTGGTTCATGTGGTTTGGGACATGAATTGAACTTGAAGTAGTCTAAACCTATAAACTGGCATGCTTGGTAACAATCTAGCCCCACAAATAGAGCTTTTACAATCTGTCAATTTTCTGTCGCCGTCACAGCCCTACTTCAAGGCATGTCTTAAACACCTGAAATCCAAACTGCAGGATTGTCACAAACTTTGAATCCTAATATGTTCCGAAATGAGAATGACTCGACAATTTTACCTACACCGGCATATTCCTCAGAGTTTGGACTTTGAGCACCCTAAAGCCTTCCTAAAGAGTATATTTTTCGATGTACGGCGGCTTGAAAACCAGGTCTCTAATATTTCTATGCTGACCATGATGACGCTCTGGTATACGTTGTACCATACAAAACTGGTTCTCTGTCACACCTGAAATTGTTCACTGCCATGACTGCCAGCACATGCGCGTGTAAACAGGGGGTAGCCGTCTCATCCAAACTCCTGGTGCTGTATTTGCACAATGTGAGGTCACGGTTTAGGGGTCACAAACTCACAAACTTGACACCATGATGATTTGAGCTGTCAACGTCAATGTGCACGAATGGATGAAGTTGAAAAATTAGCTGGGAATTTCTCGAAAAGCAGGAGGAAAGATTACGTGGTGAAGGACTGATTTAAAAGCAGAGAGGGTATGGCATACATTGAGCAACTCCAATCGTGAAAATGCTTTCATTTCGAAGCGCTTGAAAAAGTCCACAAAAATTTGGTAAGCATGTATCATGGGCACGTGGCTGAGCGCAGCGTACCGTAGGCCACATTAATTAATGTAGGCCCGAGCCCTATTAATTGATTAATGGGGCTCGGGCCTACATAGTCCATGATACATTGTGTCATATCATGTCATGTTACTATTGATTGTTAGGCCTGCTACTACGTTCTGGTGGTTACTCACTCTTTTTAGCAGATTTCACAACAATACAGTCATTGAGATGTTGGCTAAATGCATCTGTGGATTAAAATATACACAGGCCTAGCGGCCATTTCACATTAGTACAAAGAAATTAACTTTTCAGTCAAAACGTTGAGGTCCTTGCAACGCACGACGCATCATCATGCACGGAGAATGGAAAAAAGTACCATTATGCACAGCGCCGCCGCCCGGCCGGAGCGGCGCTATACTATACTATATGTAGTAGGACCGATGAGGGCGCTATCATTCAACAGCGCATCCGGGGTGCACCACTACAAGTAAATTCCCATAGACAA